GACCAAAACACTTTCATGGGTTGTTACCCCTATCTGATGCGCTATCCCCTATTCAAGCATGAGACGAGGGACTGCCAGGGGCGACTGGGAGAAGCTGGTACTCCGTACACAATTGAACTGTAACTTACCTATGTATTAATTAATTGATATGTATCAGCAGCCTGAGCAGACTCTTATATTTCTGTGTCCTTAGCCAACATCGACAAAGGTACTTGGCCTTCCAATCTACTACTACCTTATATTTGAGAGGCACGTTTAAGAAGGGACAGACAGGCACTCAGTACCTACTACCTAAGGTACCTTATCCTAATCGGTACCTATCAAAGTTACAGCGGGGACCCCCATTACATCGGCTGCAGCATGTGCCTGAGCATCCTCCATTTATCAAGCTCTCTTCCACTTTTGACCTTCAGTTTGTTTGACTCTGTTTTGAGTTTTTGATATCCAGAACCAGTCCACATTCAAACTGCCAAGGGCTAGGGGAGATACAACGGGGGTCATCCCGGTTACTAGGTATTTTCACCACCCTTCCCCTGCTTTGCCTTACCTTGCCTTGCCTTCCATCCTCCTGCCATGGTGTTGCAAAACTTACTTACCAAAGACGGAATCTCAGCCCGACCTCATCGCCTCCCGAGTCTGCATCAGCTCATTACGGCCCTTCCCGCAGCATTCCTCTTCTTCAACCCTTCTCTCCAAGTCCTGTCTTTGGAGGATCTCCATCCAACGGGTTCTCGCTGATCGCTGCCATCGGCAATTCATCATTTGAGTCTCGACAACGTAGTGCACTGGACTTCAATTCCAACCCTTATTATCTCGATTCAAACAGGCCCCAAACCTGCAGCGCGCTGCCATTTTGGCTCCAATCGAATATATAAACATGACCTTATCGATCTCGTCGTCGATACTGCCTTGATTGGCCTAAACGCTAGAGATACCGATCGCAAGCTTGACTCTCACTGAGACAGACTGGCCTCGGTTTGCGCCCAAGCTTCGATCAAAAGATAAACGCAGATACGGCAACAGAAGTCTTCTGAAACCGTTATCGTCATAAAATTCCAACGGTTCCCCCCTCGATCGATTTCTCCACCAGCGCGCCTCCCCACGTTTCTTACTCGAGCCGCGCATTCCTCATATTGACCGTCCGCCATGGAACGGCCAGATCGACTCGCCGGCTCGTCCGTCGGTTCTGCATCGCAGGCTTCAGTCCCAAGAAGCTTACCCGAAAACCACATATCTGGACGTCGTCCAGTCCCAAACTCAGCAGCCACGTCTAACGGACCGCCACCACCTCCTCCTATTCCTACCCTGCGAAGCGTTCCCTCCAGTTCCTCTCTTTCTGCCGCGGGCATGTCGGCAGCTCAGGTTATTAGTCTCGCGCGTGAGGCAATGCAAAATGCCATCGAAAGCGAGAGCCAAGCCGCAGAGGCGGGCGCCGTCAGCACAGGGCTCAGAACCGGTGTCACAATTGACCTCAGTCGCAAAGGGATCCAAAAACTACCAGATGAAGTTGTGGATATTGTCAAGGGTGATCTGGAGCGGTCCGTTCCTATGGGATCATCTTCAGCAACGCGGTCGGATACTGATACCTATACGGTCTCCAGACTAGCACTGTCTCATAACCAACTGACAACATTGCCCGCTCGCTTTTCTGAATGCACATCATTGCGATACCTCAACATCCGGGGCAATCAGATCAAGGAGTTTCCTATGCCTGTATGTCTTCCCCTTAGCGTCGAAATGTTTCCTAACAGCCTGGCTAGTTGTGTGATTTGAAATCATTGGAGATCCTTGACCTTGGCCGAAACCAACTTCGAAGTCTTCCTACAGATATTGTGAGACTCTCGTCATTGAAAGTTTTGTCTATTCCAAAGAACCAAATACGGGAGTTGCCACTATGTATTGCCGATATGGGGTCCTTGCAAGTGATCAAGTTTGAGGGCAATCCCATCAACTTTCCGCCGCGAGATGCAATACAAGTGCAAGCCGCAAGTCCCCCGCATGAAGGTATTCAGAAAGACAACGAAGTTACGGAGGTTGCGGTAACGCTACAAATCAAGCGCTTTCTTAAGCAGCATGCTGTCAACGGGCGATCCGAATCTGATAATACAGGCGACGAATCTAGCGAGGGCGCGGAAACCCCTCGCTTCCCATTGAAAAGGGTTGCAAGTGGGAGATTTCCTGTCAAAGTGAGCGGTGCCGATTTGCCTGATATTCGTTCTCCCAATCTTGGATCACGGGCGCCTCCGATACCATCGAGATCACACTATCGTGGACTTTCCCAACAAAACAGCGCTTTTCGACGACCCGGTGTCATGCCATTGACGATTGGCAATGTCAATGAACGTGTTCGTAGCAACTCAGAAAGCCTTTTGAGGGCGGAACGGTCAGAGAGCCGCAACAGGCGCATGGGAATTGTCTCGAGAAAACCCTCTGACCTTGGTACACTCGATGAGATGCAAGTGAACAATCGATTCAGTCATTATCGTGGCTTGAGTCATGGGTCTGCCATGCAGGGTAACCAAGCAACGACGAAGAGCCCTGCGACACCAACGGAACCATACTTGGCACGTCCCATCTACGTGAGACGTCTTTCTGTCCTCCCTGAACGGAGGCGAGAATCAAAAGTCTATGATCCAGTCATTGAAGCTGCTAAGGGCATCCTCTACTCGGTCTTTCAGATCCATCCTATGATCCAGATGCTCATGAGCTTGACGAGTGATGGGTCTGCTAAGCGCTCTAGCCTTGAGATCGTGTTCTACAACACCAACTCCCATGTTGAGGAATTGGAGCAGGAAATCCAGAAACACGAGAACGCCTTGGTCGACCTCGACGACCGCTCCCAAAGAGAGAACGAAAACGTCCATCGAGCCTGTCAAACTCTGGTCAGCGCATATGGCCACGTTTGTACACTTTTAGCCGATAACATCGATACTTTCGTGAACAACGGAGATGCTCGATATATTCGAACACTCTTGATGTTGCTCTACAATAGTATCATGGAACTGCGTGTGACGCTGTCGTCTGTTAGCGCAGAGGATGGGCGTCGGCAAGCAGCCTCCAAGGGAGACCAGATGGGTGAGCGTACTCTCAGGGCGCATGCACGCGAACCTTCCGTTACTCCCACTGTTGGTAGGTCAACAGGAGCTCGCAACCGCAACGGCACTCTGGTACACCATCCGATCAATTTGCGCGTTGCTACAGATGTGCCTGTGCCTACACCCCTCTCTTCGGCTTACCTCAATGGCAATGGTCGAACCGCCACCATTGCATCGGCCACACCGCGATCAGGAGAATCTTTCTCCTCGATAGGCAGCCGCGGGATTTCTTCCGAGTTCACAGAAGAAGATCGGCAGTTTGAGAAAATATTCCTATCCTTGCAAAGGTCGACGGATCTCGTTATGGGGACACTTCCCAGTTTCCAAGCCCAACTGACAGGTGGCTTGAGGAACGCCATGTATCAGAGGACCCCAGAAAGTGTGATTCAGCACTGGAAAGCCTTGATAACCATGTGCGGACATGTTATTCAACAGACGGAGATTCTCAAGAACAGACTGTCACTTATCAAACTCAAGGAGCCTGGAGTTAGAACACAGGCGAGCTTTTGGAGTCTCTGTAACAACTTCAGTCACTCTTGGGCGGATATGATCTATCAGATCAAATATGGACCCAACAGTGTTCCACTGCCTCCCGATACAAGGGCACGATTGCGACCGATTCAGCAGAGTATTAAGGAAACCAGCAACATCATCTCCAAGTCCCCTTGGTACTATCTTTTCAACCACCCCTCAGGTACGCCGAACGGGCAGATGCACTACCCCCCTCGCGGTATGTCACCAACTCAGGTCCCGATCACTCCGCAGAGTGCTGCTTTGGGACCCGCCATGCAGGCGACAGTTCCCACGACGCCACAAAGTGGTTCATTCGCAGCGGCATTCCACGGGAATGTCTTTGACCGCGCCGACGCTCTTATGGCCAACCCTGGCATTTCTATGGGGCGTAACGGAGGGTTTGGAAAGGGTCATATGGGATTCAGCTCACTGTCTTCCCTATCTTCTATGTCCTCAGACGAGGGAATACTTCCTTCTCATGGGCCACTTGGACCAGTACCACTGCGCCTTAACGGAGGCAAAGTTGCCTTTTAGATTACAGTGCCGAGTCCTTGCTTGGATCTCGAAGTCAATACTTTCTGTTCGGTGCAGTCGTTGCTGTTGTTTGCATAAGGCAAAAGGGGGTCATTTGGTTATATCTAGAACTTATCGAGGCTTTTTGAACTGGCGTATTGAGGGAAAAGTTCGCCGGAAGCCATTCCTTTACCGCATAGCCTTGGCGTTTGGGGTTGCAGTTGCATTTATTTGCCCAAAATCAGGCCGGTCGAATTATATTTGCATTTAATGTCATCACGTTGAGGGGGTTCCCAGCTTGTGTGTGGGCATAAATGTTAAGCATTGTCTTTTGGGGAGGTGCAAAAGTTGGGAAGAGATGACCAACAGAAGGTCTCCGAAGATAAATACCTGTAAATGTTGCCGAGGTACTACATATCAGGGACCGAAAAGGATATGGGTCAAGGCAGAGAGATGTTACATTGTACACTAACGTTGGCACATAACGAATCTAATGCTTCTGGTATTCATCTCAGAGATAATGAAACTCCAGTATGATCCAACAGTCACAGCTGGTTACCTTCTCAAAAATGTATGAGGGACTGTCCGGTTTTTATAAATGCTCGCTTAACTGTTGCAACCAAAGAGATACCTTGCAAGTTCGCCTCGCGTTCTTAAAGCGTAGGTAGGTAGTCTAGCTATCCTGGTGTCACACCTGAAAGTCAGATCCCATGATCTTGGCCGTCAGCGCGACGAGACCAAGTGTAACTACTATGTACCTCGACCCCACCAACATGCAGTGTAAGTATGGGCAACGTGAAACGGCGAAGCTACATCTCTTATCTCACCTTTAAACCAATTACTGTAAAGTGCATCAATATTCTACTGGTATAGCGCACCATGTCAACAGCAGCTGCTTCTTCGGCTACTCGTCATCAGTCCAGCTCTTCAGCTGCGGCCACAGGCTCTTCGGCATCTTCCTCACCCTCATTATCTCCTCGCCCGCCGACGTCTCCTCCTCCCACGATCGCATCTCCTTCAGTTGCCCATGCCCATGCTCACGCACAAATTCCCTCCGCAGCGCAGCAGACTTCGCCGCCGCCTCCGCCTCCGCAACTACAGTCCACGCTCCCGTCGGCCGAGACACAGCGCCACGTAGCGGAAGCACGTCGCGCTGTGGTCGCAACGCTGGAGAACATGATGGACTCTGAGCTGCAATGGCGCGCATCTACGTTGCATTCCAATGCTGCGGCGCTGAGCAAGCAGGCGCAGGATGTGCAGCGTGCGACTGAAGGACTGCGTCGCGAAAACGTTAAGCTTGCGCGGGAGGCAGACGCTGCGGCGCGGAGGCTAAAGGAGCTCGGCAACGTGCAGAACTGGGCTGAGGTGCTGGAGCGCGACTTTCTCGTTCTGGAGGAGACTGTCAGACTCGCGAATTCCGATCGTAGCTGTAGCTGCAGCGAATGTGGAAGCTATACTGGGAGTGAGAGTGACGGTGGTGATGTGGACGAGGATGAGGGTCGGCGGGCCATGAAGCTTGACGAAGAAGAGAGGGGCAAGGGTGTCGAAGGGCGCAAAACGCTCGATGTTGAGATGGATATCGATTCGGAGAACCATGCGCCGGGCACGTTTTCCGATGCTAGTAGGAGCTTGACAGAGGCAGACTCCAGCGTGGGTAGGGGGGCTAAGGGATCAGATACGGCTTCTATGTCAACGATCTCACGATGAGACGAAAGATCACTGAGCGCGTGATGGGTCATGACCATTCTAAGTATATTATAGGACTAGGGAACCGGCATCCACGGTATATGATTTTACGAGAACCCTTCGTTATTGAACATTACTATAGCATGATAGTCTAATACTGAGTATACACCAGGTCTACTCCGGTCCGATCCGCCTTTTATTAGCTGCCTACAGTGTAGCCCATGATGGCCTCCATATTGATGCGTCTCCTGATCTGTGCCTGCTGAAATAGCTGTTTACAAATGCATTCCTTCTCAGATGAGACCGGGGAAGATGACGTATCTCTTCTTCTTGTACTTGTCACCGAACTCTTTGCGATAGGCGCGCTCCTTACCCTTGGCCCAGCTAATCATCTGTGCAGCACCAATAGAGATAAAGAAAGCGACGGTCCAGTCACGGCTGACAAGGATGACTCCGACCCAGGCAAGCACCTCATACAAATAGTTTGGGCAAGTGACAATGCCGAAACCATAACCAACGGGAATCTTGCGCTCAGTGCCACCAGTAGAGCGCAGACTCGAAAGATATTGGTGAACGAGGGCATTCATGAACTCGCCAAAGCAATAAAGAGCAACGCCAACGGCATCAATAGCAGGAACGTCGGCCTTGGCTGCAAGGGAGTTGGGGTGGTAGATGGCGTAGGCGCAGAGAACACCAGAGACAGCCCAGTAGAAGAAGCTGTTCTTGAAGATGTTCTTCCAGGGCATTGTGTTGGCAGAAAACTTGTGGACAAAGAGTGTCTCATACTCGCGCTTGAAGAAGTGTAGCATGATCATAGCAAAGGTGATCCATTGGGTTCGAGACATGTCGCCGTCTCCATTGCGGTAGATGTAGGGGCGAGCAGCGACAGCGAGGGCGTGGAAGATGATGGGTCCGAGATACTCGACGACGAAGACGGTTCTCCAAGCGATTTGATATCCTGTGACAAGAGTTATAACGTGCTCACTCAAGGTCTTTGGCCAGTTTCGACGCACCCATGTCTTTTACGAGAACCTCGCCAGTGGAAACTACGGCGGGCTCATCGACGAGACGAGCCTTGCGGTTCTTGAGAGTCTTTTTCGTGGTAGGATCATAGATTCCAATGCGATTGAAGTCTCCAAGCTTGGTTGCCTTTGCAATGAGGACCTTGAGTCCTTCAACAGTGGTATCAGGGTCGACCTCAATCGACTCTGGGAGGTTCTTGATCGGTTGCCTTGGAGCTAGAGAATGTTAACTTGATCCCAAGAGGAATGAGGCTGTGTAGATAGTAGAATACATACAGCGATTGGTGAGCGTGATAGATCGAAGAGAAGCCATCGTGTCTGTATCGTTGACTCAAAGTGAACAACTTGAGGGGGGAACAAGATCCTATCAAAGGATGCAATGGGGTTGAGAACAAATAGGAAATAATTATTGGATGAGATTAGATATACCAAGGTACGTACCGTCTGTCAATCGGGGACCTCGGCCTGATTTTGGTGGGGTGTCATGGAGGATCCTTCCCGCTGTTGAGCCCCCTGGGGCTAAACTTTGTTGAGAAGAGGTGTCGGCGCATAATTGGTAACTGTAACCCAGAGCAGAGCCCCATACATCAATCAAGTGGTTGTCAGCTTGTGACAATTGAGAAGCTGATTGACTGAGGTGACCCTCGGGGAGCCAAAACTTTGTACCTCTACGGAGTACTAAGCGGTAAAAAGAGTCAGGTAAGTTTGGTATGAATTTAGAGAGGCTTCAGATGGGTCATTTTTGTCACTTGGGATGACTTACATTCCTACATAGTTGGGTTTTATGTACCATTTACATCAAGCCATTGGATGCTATGAATAGAGTCAGAGACATAAGTGGAACACTCAGGAGTATTTATCATTGCGATTGGCAGGGTTGGCCGAGTGATAATTGTTGATCTTCTTGTTGTTCTTGTAGATGATAGGAGGGGGAGGGGGAGGTGTAGTAGCAGTCTTCTTCTGCTCTGAGGTAGCTATAATGTATTCAATCCATCGCAGTTGTTAAACAGATCTTCTATCATAGAGCCATATTTTCCCTCACCCATACAGCTTAGCATTCATATTGTAGGGAGTGTTGAGTCTCATGGAGTCTCGGGAGTAGTATTGTTCATGAAATACATCGTAGTATGCCCTTTCCTGCACAAGAGATAGCGTAAGATAGTATTTAAATCATCTGATCTTTGAATAGAACAGCCAGCAAGTCTCTCACTTTGTTCTGGCGTTGACAGTTCTGACAACTGCCAGCAGGATTAGCCCCATGAGCCTCACCACCGCCTCATCCATGATCTCGAATACGTGCCTGCAGTAAAAATACATTCACTCTTTGTTTTCTTTTCTTTTTCTTCTTCTTTCCTCCAAGCCAAACTATCCCAAAAGAAAGAAAAAAGCATCTCTCAGTCACTGCGGTTTGTTTGCTAGTAGTTATCCGGCAGCTGGCCATCAGCTGCCACGCATTCACGTATTAACCTCACGCACGCCCTCTTGGCGCTTGAGCCTTTCGTTATTCCACTCTTCGCTAGGAGCTTTTTCTTCCTCTCTTATACTCGCAGTCTGCCCGAAACAGTTTCCTTTAGCCACAAACTACTATCACCGTTTTGTCAGAGGCATCTTGTCCTTTCTATGAAAAGTATCCGATACAGCTTGTTTGCTCTAATCTGGGCATTATATCGTAATTCATAGGCAAGCATACTCAGAAGAAAACACAGCCAGCCTAACTGACCTAAGCCTTTCTCTCAGTCCTATAGCTTACGGGTTACCTGATGATAACAAGCGAATAACTAACAAGCCGACAAACCTGCTTGTCGTAACCTATCTTTTGTCTCTGTTGTCAAGCTGGATTATTGATCAACACATTCGATTTGTTGCATATTCATCGCTTTCCAAAACCTGCACATATGCGTCGCCAGGCACCATCATGAATCCCTGTGCGCCAACATTTATCCCGGTTGAACCTTCGGAAAATGAGTTCTCTCCCGACGAAGATGGTTCTTCAACTCCGTCTTCCATGGAAGCACGACATCCAGATCAAGATGTGCGCTCGCCTCGAGCACGACCCCGAGGTAGAACAATTCCTTCCATTACCATCGACCCCGAAGGATACGAATCCATGTTCCCTGCTCTTCGAGCTGTGAACAAGGTTGACCCTCTCAAGATTCGGAATCCGAAAATGAAAACGAAACAACGAGGCAGGCGCCGCAGGTCCAGGGGCAAAGACGATCGGGTCCTGTCTTCAAACCCGGTTAACGATGAACGGTTGAGTATAGGGCTTCAGTTCTTACAGTCCTCTGAAGATGAGGAAGAGAGTAGTAATGAGCCTCCCCTGGAGTATCTGAAACCGACTGTTTACACTCCGAGGAAGTCGCTTGAATTCCTCAAACCCGACGTCTATACACCACCGGCCTCATCTCACAACTCTTCCAGTCGTCCTAAAACCAGTGCAAGCATGCGGCTGGCCGACACCAGAGCGAGAACCAGGTCTCCTAGGCGGGCATGGAGGCCCCCAACTCCCCATCCAGACGGTAGACCGCGAGGCTCCAGATTACGACGTACACCTACTCCAAACCAGAGAGTCATGTCATCGGCTGGGTATTCAGTTCCTCCGGCTTTCCCGAATCCCACTTACAACCAGTTTCCCTCAGAACCTCCCCATCAAATGATGTATCCGCCGATCAACTATGCGCCACGTATTGGGCCATCTCTGGTGCCGCCTATGATGCCATACTCGCCTCTACCATGGCCACTTGCCCCAGCCCCGTGGTCGGCTCATTCGGCTCAGCCAGAGGCGATGATGGACTATCCGGCGGACTATGATAGTCATTTTGAACAAACGGATTGGCCTTCATTTGAGGGAGAGGGCGGGATGTATTATGCGCCACAGCACTTCCTTTATTATCAGCCAGAGTCACATATGCGACCACAAATTCAGCCCTATAGTCAATACCGAATGCATTTGCAGCCTCCAGAAAGGTCTGAACTGTATCTAAATTCCCGGGGCAGTGATTCACAGAGTGAGTCGAGGAGCCAGCCCACAGGAAGCCAGCATGAGAAAAAAGCCAGTACATCTAGTTCCACCAAGGCAAGCAACTCTAGCTCCGGTATAGCTACCAATGTGTCTGATACTACAACCCCTTTGAAAACTCAATTCGATATGATCAAGGACCAAAGTGGAGGGACACAGCTGAGGTCAAAGCACAACAAGTATCCTGATATTTAGATGACTTCAGTGCCTGTTGGTAAAGACCGTCAACTCCTCAGTGCTGTTTGCAGTGACGACTCGACGCAAGAAGAAGTCAAGAAAGAGCTTCGCAAGGCGGCTGACTATAGTAAGATCAAAGGGTTTATCCCAACTCGACAGGCACAAATTTCACACGATTCTCCTCGCGGTGCGAGAGGTGCGAAGATCAACCTTAAGCGAGAGACTACACCCCCAGAGGAGAACAAAGCTCGAGAGACTCTAAAACTGATCGATCCGCTCCAGAATGCACCCAGAGGTCCATCTTCCACGCGCCAACTTCCTCAGACGTTCAGTTCTACCTTGAAACAGAGTTTCAATTTAAATGGATCTGAGTCGGGCTCATGGTCTCAATCCAAGAGATGGACGAGCTTTGCTACAAAGGAACGGCAGGCTTTTCAGAAGATGATGGCCAATCTGCGCTACATGAGTGCCGACCAGTCTCCATTTGTTCCTCAGAGCCCAGTAGAGCTGACAGCTTTCAAGGCAAATCTGGCAGAATCAAAGACGAGGAAGCTCGATCAAGAGGTCAAGCAACGTCTGGCAAGGACGAACGTGGGCGTCGATGAAGGCGCGGACACTCGAGTCAAGCCTGTTGTGAAGCTCCTCCGTGGGAAGAAATTTGACGATTGTCTTTCCCCCGTGTTCGCAGCCAGCAATTGCTTCAGCACCTCACGGAACGAGCCACCGTATGGTGCTGGATGGCCAACCCTCACCGAACTCAAGGAGGAGGGAGACAAACGCTCCAGTCGACAGGGCCGGTGCCTGCCTCTCCCAAGGCTGGATCTCGTTTCTCGCACATTATCTTCGGAAATATCTGGGGCTTGCAGCTCTGATGGGGCAGTCCGTAACGATAAGAGAACTGTTCAAGTTGGATCCCATTATCTTTGTGCTGTTACGCCAGAGGAGCCTTCTATTMCCCCGCCGATCGAGTTGCAGTCAGACGAAGCCCATTTCATTCCCGCTACACTTCTTCAATTCATAAATGCAAGCGAAGATGACGCGAAAGGGACGGAAGAGGACAACGAGAAGACGATTGGACAGGAGCATGAGGAGAAAGCCGAGGAAAAAGGAGCAAGAGATTGAAAAGAGGGAAGATTCAAAGTAGAAGCCGGTAGAAAGCCGGAAGGGCTACCCATGGCATGGGCTTAACATCATTTTTATTCGTAAATGATTTGGATGTGCCAGCGCCGACGATATGCTTGGAGGCGCTTTGGACAGACTTTTGAGATTTTGAGACAGGCAGTTAGTTCTAGGAAGATCTTCACGATCCTTGCTATGAAGCTCGAGGGAATTCAGAGACTGAGACTGAAACAGGTAGATAATACATCAAATGCGAAAAATAATAAAAAAGAGAGCCTGACCCTGGAAAGATGATGGTACAAGGTGCTCAGTGAACACTTAATAACTTGGGCACTTTTCCAGTTGATGCTGATTTCATGATGTGAGTTGGGTGTTATACTATTGGTCACTAGTTGGCAGGGGGAGTGTATCGGACCCACGCTAGAACTCGCTGCTCTCTTGAGTGGAACATCTATCTTCCCGGCCACACTAACGATGCGCCTCTATCCGTACAAACCTGCACGATTGGGTCACGTGCTGCTCTTACCGAATCAGTTTTGGCAAGCCCTAACCTCCCGCACTTGCCAAATCCTCCACCCACGTTTCCGTAGCTTGAATCCTCGTTCAGCCAAAAAGTTCTTCACGACCATCCGCCAATTCGATTGCCTGGTGAGCGCCAACATCATCAGGTAAGTTGCCAGACGACAAGAACGAAGAGACGAATTCAATCAATACGCTGCGCTGCTCGATGATTCCCCATCTCGAAGAACCCGCCGATTGAGTTGCTCGCTCTCCCCTGTTCTCTCTGTCTTCGTCTCCGTCTCCGTCAAACATGGACTCTGGCTAACCACTTCGTCTTGTCTTCTCTCTCACAGAAACCGCAATCATGGGTATCTCGCGTGACTCTCGACACAAGCGCTCCGCCTCCGGTGCCAAGCGTGCCTACTACCGTGCGTAATAATTCCGAAAGCCCGTATGATCCTCTTGGACATACGTTCTGACCTTTGACAACAGGGAAGAAGCGCGCTTTCGAGGCTGGTCGCCAGGGTGCCAACACCCGTATTGGCCCCAAGCGCATTCACACCGTCCGAACCCGAGGTGGTAACCACAAGTACCGTGCCCTCCGTCTCGACTCCGGCAACTTTGCCTGGGGTTCCGAGGGTCTGACCCGCAAGACCCGTGTCATTGCCGTCGCCTACCACCCTTCCAACAACGAGCTTGTCCGAACCAACACCCTCACCAAGAGCGCCGTCGTCCAGGTCGATGCCGCTCCCTTCCGACAGTGGTACGAGGCCCACTACGGCCAGGCCATCGGCCGAAGACGCCAGAAGGCTCAGGCTGCCAAGGAGGGCAAGACCGAGGAGGAGGTGAAGAAGTCTAACGCTGTTGAGAAGAAGCAGGCTGCCCGTCTGTCTTCCCGCGGTAAGGTCGAGAGCGCCATCGAGAAGCAGTTCGAGGCTGGTCGACTCTACGCCGTTGTTTCCAGCCGACCCGGCCAGTCTGGCCGTGTTGATGGTTACATTCTGGAGGGTGAGGAGCTCGCTTTCTACCAGCGTAAGCTCCACAAGTAAACTTGTCAAAAAAAAAAGCCACATAAAGAACCAAATGTCGGCCCCTGGTATGGTGTTCAAGGATTTCTCGCTGTCTTGATAGTTAGGACAAGATGAGCTTAACATAACGCATCGGAATGGGTCCTTAGGGAATGAAAATTTTTCTTGCGCTGAATTTACTTCATGATCAAGGTTTCTGTACTTGCACAACGTGACATGATGTTCTGGCTGGAATGCCGAATCTAAATAGTGTTCCACTCATTCTATATGTGGTATGTGTTGTAGACGGCATAAGTCAACTGCTATGCCCTTGCAAAACATAAAGGTTGGTTTGTACTTTAGTACTACACCACTAGCAATCCATGCTTTACAACAGTCCTCATCGTAAATAGTAGCAAAATACGGGAATCGACGCCACTATTGTCTTATTCCCTGCCTACTGTCATTACAAATGCCTAATCCGACATTTTCAGCAAGCTACTAAGCCAACAGGGCCAATTGTAGTAAGCTAAAATGTGGAATCGGGTAAACAAGAATACTTTATACATGAAGAATGATTCAGGATCAAATAACCAGAACAAGTTTACGGGTCTTCTTCCGAGTTTCTCATGCAAACTGACGCTTCAAGTCAGTCCACTTACGATTCAAGGTCTCGTGCTGAGAGTTGATCTAGAATGAGGCGTCAGTAAATCAACTTCAAAGAAAAATGAGTGAGCAATGGGAAGAACTCACCTCTGCATAGCGCAGCTTTGTCTGGACCAACTCTTCTTCCAACTCGGACAACTCCTTTTCAAGTCTCTGGTTCTCCTCATGAACATGCATATTGCGTTTCATCAGATCGTCCCGCTCAAGTTTCCAAGTCTCCTCTATTTCCATGGGTTGCTTCTCGATGACGATCTTCAGCTCCCGAACTTGACCCCTCATGCTGTCATTCTCGTCTTTGAGTTCCTGGTTTTCAACCTTTGTGTGCACAAGCTCTGTGGCCAGATCTGCCTGCTCACGATCGCATACCTCAACCCTCTCCTCCAGTTTCCGGACTTGAATAGAGAGATTATGGTTCGATGTGCGTAGCTCCAAGAGTTCGTTCTCACGATCCTTCTCGGCCTTGGTTTTCTCTTCCCATTCTGTGCTATAAGATTTGAGCATTTCTGGTGTAATTTTAACTTCGCAGGCATCTTTTACGAGCTGGTCTGCACGATAGACCTCCTTATCAATGCTAGAGCTCGAGCTTCCAAAGAAACCATTTTCAAGAAGACTGCCATGGCTAGGATCCTTATCAATATAGACGTCGAACAGTTTGTCCTTCAGGTATGTGGTAAGTTGCTGCATATCAGATAATCCCAGGAGAATGCTGGCATTCTTCTGCATTAGAACAATTCCGAAGCGTAGAATTGCTGACAGGCCCTCGGAGAAGATGAGGTCGTAGATGCGGAGGACTAGCTGAAGAGGGAACCGGTAAGCAAAAAGCGTCAAGAACCATTGCGTGGCATAGAGGTGAGGGGATATTCCACGCCGGTGAAGATGGCAGTACAATGCTGGCTCGAAGTCTTCCAAAAGCCGCTCGAACTGATAAAGATGCATATGCAATCCCGGCATATCCTGGATAAATAAATCTCGCAACTTGTAGTGATTCATTAGTCGAACAAGGAGACAGAAAGCTTCCTGCTCAGGCATCTAGAGAGCATGTGAGCATGTCGTAAAAACCGTGCGGGAGTCAGACTTACGTTGAATAGTAGTGGCATGATGAGAAAATTCATACCCTGTGCGTAGCCAACACCTTCGTCAAAAAGTGCATATGCCTTGCAGACACCAAACAGGCCCTCTTGAAGCCCAGCGGCAGCCGCATACTTAGAATAGCTGGTTCGAGCACCAAGATCTCGGCGTATTGTCTTTTCCAGTTTCTGTAGTGTTGCCGCGTCCTCCTTGTCCTTGCGCTTCCGCTCAGCCGCTGCAGCAGCTTGAGCTTTCAAAACAGCCTCCGCGCTCTTCTCGTTTGGAGATGGCGTGCCGTTTGTTCCTGAGTGGTCTGAATTGATGGAAGAGGCTGATGATGTGACCGCGTCCCCGCTATGAACGCTCAGGTTTCCGTTGCTCAGCGAACTAGCAGTCGTACTATTGCTGTGACGATCTTTGCTCTTGTCTGTACCGCGAGCCACCAGATCTTTGTATACCAATTCCAGGTCATCGTTCTTGCTATCAGCCAACACTTGCCAGACAACGCCACGGATTGCACTAGGGATGCCGGTTGCAATGGCTTTGTTCAGTTCCTCGGCGCTAGTTCGAGCAACAGCAGCTGGCCCCTCATATACGACAGATTGCCACAAGTCCCAATCAACTTTTTCTTCTGAAATGGCCGAAGGTCCTGCGTTGACTCCCGCAACTGTGCCGGGGGCCAGCCCAGGAATAGGCTGAGGAACAGGCGACGACGGAGGCTTCTCTTGCGGTTGGCCTTCATCACCTGGCAAAGTAAGGCCAAGGGCCCCGTTATATTTACTACTGTCACCTTCGGCCATTGCGCGAGCAGCCTCTTCTTGCTGTCGCAGTTGCTTAAATCTGTCTTTCAGGGTGACCCGTTGGGCAGGGTCACCGGGTAGTGAGTCTCCATCCTTTTCCTCCTCAAGTCGACTCAACATCATTTCAGGATTGCTTGATAGTGTTGCGATCGAACCAGCTGTGTTCCTTCGGCCAGCAGGGGGGGGTGGAAGCGGAGGTTCTCTCTCTTTGCTAGAGCTTCGAGAAAGCCAAGAGAAGGGGCTTGTCAACTTTCGACTCGGTGGTGGCGGAGGCTGAGGCACTGGTGGGGTGGGCGCAAGTGTAGCTGTTGATGGCACAGGGCTTTTGGAAGTATCAGCGGCGGGCGACCATGGCATAGACGGAAGAGAGATGCTGTTCAGAGATATCGTCTTGCTGTTTGGTTTCGGTGGAAGATCTTTTGGCACTACAAAGATCAGTATTATGTGCAGTGTTGTTGGCAAAGAGAATGTACATACCTGGAGATGGGGGCGTATCGTCGTCAAGACTAACGTTATCCAGATTTGAAGTATTGGAAATTCGTGTGGAAGCTATTGACGGTTTGCGTCGTGATTGCTTTCCTTTGACACTGCCTGCCTCGGATCCAGTGGTTTTATGTTGAGTGACCTTTGTGTCTAGAGTATCCTCTTGGTGATGTGACTCTTCAGACCGCCGATCGGTTCGCTCCTCCACTTCGCTGTCACGGCGTTTAGCCTGTGAAATATTTCGTTTGGTAAGGGACCTTGCAGGGGACTGCGTTACAGCATCCTCGAATTTATCATCGCCGTCAGATGCCTAAGGAAATTAATTAGCATTGAAGCGAAATAAGGGATGGCATCTGTCGTGTGACTGGCACAGCAGTAGTCGAGGGAGGAATGTGGGATAAACCTACAGACATAGTGTCGTCAGACTCCGTGCCAGACGAGAGTCTTTTGACATTGGTGTCGTTTTGCGACAGCTGAT